TCTACTTTGGGTTCTTCTTTAACTATTTAAGTTTAATATCCTAAAGAGAAGTGCTTTCGACAAGTACCGGGTATCATTACACGCCTTACTTCATGAAAAAATATATAAAAGCTTTAATTTCCTTTGATTTTGTCCAAGACTCTGATAAAAGTCAAAAGCTTCTTGGCCTTTTTTAATTCCGAACCGTAAACCACCACAGAATCGCAGAAATTTCAACCAGACATCTGTTTCTTGGCCAGCAGTTCCAGGAAGCATCTATCCATCTCCTGGGCTGTCAGTCCACCGCGTCCCACCTGACCGTTCGTCAGTCTGACAGTCGGTGGGGGTCCAGCGCAGGCTACATATAATTGGAGCGACCCCATCTTTTATTCAGACTGTGTACTCGGAAGGACCCCAAGAGCCGCTCGAGTAATGGTTACCTGGCCGGGATTTGCAATTCAAAATGCTGGCGGTCTTTGAAGAGGACCATCCTCCCTGCTCTCCTGCCCGATGGGTTGCCAGCCGAACTTTGAGGTACTTCGAGTGCAGCTGTGGTGGCTCCCGAAACGATGCACTAATTGAAGCACATCCCGTAACAATAACAATCGAACAGGTACCAGCCAGGGATAGAATATCAGAGCGGGCTGAAGGACTAATATAATTTCAGGATAATCGCCAAAATGTATGCAGCCACATCAAAGATACTGAAAGCTAAACCAATTTTGGGTTCAGAGGGCTCGGTTCTGGGCCTAAATCAAATTATGGCTCACAGTTCTCGAGCATGGAGAACGCCCCATCTCTTTCTATACACCCATCTCGCTCTATCGGCTATCTCTATCACTCCTAATCTGAGTTTAAAGCGAGTGGAATTTTATGGCAGGGCTTGCAGCTACAAATTGTCGTAAAGTTAAGCGAATTTATTGGCATACATAATGCATGTGGCATGTCCTCCGTCCTGAGGCCCCGGTTTTCTGGCCCAGTTCTCCGTTTAGAGTTCTCACTTGGTAATACAATGCGCATACCGTTATACCGTTACGCCGGAGACAAACAGAGAAAACAAAATGGCGACAACGCCCCCATCATCATCATCATCATCGACGCCATCACAGTTGGGGGTCCTGGCCCCCACACTGCCGCCCTTGCTCCGTGTTTTCGCGTCAACTTTGACAATGACTTTTCGCCGGGATTCCAAATGTTATGGCACTCCACCCACCCACTGGCACTGTCTGTGTCTACGCATTTGTATTCGTATGCGACTGGCACAACGTGTTCCTTATTTCGATGCCAGCCAGCATCCTTTGTTGGCCAGCGAGGTGATATACCCTGGAAGTTTGCATTGCTAAGTAAATGGAAACAAATGAAATCCCTTGATTGCACAACCCAGCAAAGCCGGGGATAAACTTCTGCCAGAGCTCTGAGTGACACAAGAATAATGCATTTCAATGATTTTAACAAAATATAACTGAATAAGCAATGGAAGAACTCCCAATTTCGAGATCCAGCTCAAAGGCCGTCTCTGGTGCTTGCTTTTGGGTGTTTAATTCAATAGACATTCAGGCTCGTCTGCGGCAACGTGGCGTATGCGCAATAACCGACGGCAGCTGTCCCACAGCGAGGAGGAGTGTGCTAGATACTCCCATATCCTTTGCAGCCAGTTTCGGGCAAACCGTTTGGCCCCAGTGGCCTCGGATTACCGAGATGTTGGTGTATGTTTGGGCTGGCTTGCTATCCCCAGCTCTGGGACTCATTTGGCCTCTCCAAGGGGAATTATGTTATGTGAAATAATGCACCATCATTTGTACACTTGTATGCTGTTGGCCAAAAGCAGAACGACATTGAGTAATGAATGCAGGGCACACGAGGATGTAGCATCCTTCTCATCCTTTGGCATTAAAAAGTCAGATTTTTCTGCATTTGCCAGCAAGACGACTTGTATGGGAAACGGATGCCCATTGCCATAAACTCATTTGCGAGAGCTGGTTGCCACACACATACAATCTCAATAAATTTCAATGTCTATCGGTTAAGAACCCCCATTTTCTAACAGTTGACAGCCAAGTGTGTGTGAGTGTGTTGGTGTTAGTGGGTGGGCACAGTATGCATTATGTATTATGTGAGCTGTCACCAATAAATTCCCATGTAAGCAACTGATATTGACAGCTTGAGTACGACACAGCGTTGGAAATTATATGCACGTACTTAAGCGCAGGCACAACCGCCCACATAGCCGACACATGGTGTGGTATGGGCTATATGGATGTGGAGGAAACGGGACACTGACTGAGTGCAGGCAGGCACCAGGATACGGGATAATGGGATCCTGGACAGGCAGCATATTTCGCACTACCTAACCACATCATCAATGCCTTGGGCTGAGAGGCAGGAAGGACGCGGAAGGGAGGTGCTAGTTGGAACCTGTTTACACAACACATTCTGTAGCATACTTTTTCGGGCTCTCTCCTCGGCATGTCAATCGATGTTAATTTATTGTCAATACGCATTTCCGCCTCTCTCTCTCTCTCTCTATGCGACACGAATACCAATATGGGGGGATTACCCCAGATTGTGTAAGACTGTGTGTGTGTGTGTGTTATGCAAAAAGGCTTTTCCTTTCGGCCATCCACAAAAACACGTGCGCCATGTGCACGTTATTAATCAACAAGGACCTAGGACAAGCTCGCTTGCCTCCTCACTTGCCGGCTTTGTCCATTTTGGGGAAATGCAACGAATCCTTCGGGTATGTGTGTGTGTGCACTGAGAGAAAAACCTCTGGACTGTGTGTGCTCAGTGGACTGCGTGTTCTGCAAACGGCTTATTACACACGAGGCAAACAAACCGACCCTGCAACAAGCCAACGACATCATATGCACATGCTTGCATACGTGTTCCTTGGATGTGCCCACAAAAGTTCATTATCTTGTTGACACGTCCCCGAATGGCAAATGGAAAAATGTACAAATACCTATAACTACACACAGCTTGAAACAAGCCCAATCCATTGTGGATGGATGGCCAGCCATTAATCACGAGCACGCAGCGATGATTAACTCCGGAGTCAAGGCAGAGTGACATATTAGAACTGTGACTGAATAATCTGCGAATTTATCATAATTCATAAGATGCTGAAACAAAGACGGAACAGGAATCATTAATAACGAAATAATGAATCCCCAAGGAGCGATGACTCAACAACAGCGCGGCGGAAAGATGAAACCATGAGAATCCATCCAAGCCACTGGCCTAATCACTTTAAAGAGCCAGCTGTAGTTGGCCCAAAAGATCAACAGAGCGCATAATAAATTGCATTTAGTGTCCTTTCCTTTTGCTTTTTTTCCCAAAAAGGACGAGGAGGAGCAGGAGGGATGGTATAAAAGAACATCCAGCACATGGGAGACGTTTTTACGTTTGTCAGTTGCATAAAACATAAAAATGCCAACACATTCGGACGAGGACGGACGTGGACCATGATGGCAGCACATGCCAGGAGCAGGCAGGATCAGGCAGTCGGCAGCAGGACCACCGCAGCGGAAATGGTGCAAAAAGCGGAACGGAACGGGGGGATGGGGTCTGGGAGGGAAATTAGAAAATGCCACAGTGAAGAGGAGAGATGGAGGAGGAGATGACAGACAGCCTTTTAAAAAATAAAACCACTAAGGACATTAGGGTTCAGCTACTCAAATATGAGATACCCATTACTTGGCCTAAAATAGGACTTTACTAACTAAATAAGAGATATATCTTTTAAATGTGTTATTTTAAACTTCAGTACTAGGAAATACTTAGGTCCTTCCATCACACCCTTGGAAACCCTTCTTCTACAGGGTATGAAAAATGAAATCCGCTTGAAGGGATTTTATTTACTTATTTTTCCACCGAGCTGACTGAAATCCCGGCTAAATGTCCGACTCGGGGCCAGCCTTTTCCATGGAAAATTAATGCCTAAGTCAATAGCTTTTGTGCTCTTGTGTTGATCTAGTCACAGTGACTCAATAAAGTATGCAACGTGCCCCGCATGTCAGAGCTCGCTGATTGAATTTCGCGAAAGTTCCTCTCAAAATTTTCTATTTATGTTACGAACCTACTTCCTTTTTTTGGGAAAATGTTTAATTAAATTGAAACTGGAATAGGAAAGAAATTGGAAACCAAAACGAGTCAAGGAAAGTCGGCGAAAAAGCCAAAGAATTTAATTAAACTTTTTTCTATTTTTACTTATATTCGTCCTACAATTTTTTCTGAGAGCCGCAGCAATGTCAGGCCACGCATTTTAATTAGTTTTTTTTTTTTAGCTCTGTGTGTGTGTGTGGAGGGTACTAGGACTCGCACATGTGTGTGTGTGTGTATCCTGAAAGGGAATCAAAAGTGTGTGCCTTTAACAATTGACGCGTTCTGGGCGGAACAAGCGCTGCGCTGTCAGAAAACTTTCAAACAAATGTCGCTCACATGCCAAATGCATACGCAGACAGGCAGTACACCCCACACACTCAGTTTACACACACAGCCCACACACCCCCTTTTTTATTCACACTCGTAGCACAAAAAAGGTGTTGAACATTAACATTTCATGCGCATAAACAAATGAGTTTTTGCCAACGTCAAGTTTTGATTACGTAACCAGCTTTTGGCCCAAACTTTTGCATACATGGTTGCCAATCCATTTTTTTTTTTCCATTTTTCCTGCACGGCAGGACCTTTTTTCACAGTTCTGGTTTGGATGAATAAAATAAATGCATATTCGGATGTGGGCCATAAAAAATATGCTGACTATGCCCTAAATGCGATTTTGATTGATTAACATTGCACTCCACATGGCCACTATTGAAATCGATATTGGGCGATAAAATGATTACTAAAATTCTGAACAAAAACTCATTGCATAAGTCATCCGATGTGTAAAGTTTTCTGCTGAAATGCAAAATAGGAAGCCACTTTTATGATCTCAACTTATGCGGAAACTTTTCTATGGCCTTGTTCGGAAGGAAACGCAATTATTAAATTAACATTTAATATGAAGAGCAACTCACCCCGCCGCGTCCACCAGATCCTTCGATGCTGTCATCGTCGATATAGATGGGAGAATCTCGTGACGATGAGGGCGCTGCCGCCGATGGTTTCACGGATTTCTGAAAAAATAAAAGGAATTTCCAAATAAAATGAGTTTTTTTTTTCCAAACCATATATAATATTAGAAGGATGTGCGTGAGTCTGTGTGTGTTGGAGGAGTTGGAGGTCGTGGAAACTTTTTTAATTTTCGCCAGGACATCATCAACTTTTTCGCCTTTTGTTGAAATGCAAATATTTTCATTTCATTAATTAGAGAGGACAGCGGAAAGTTGAAAAAGTTGGAGTCACTGTGCCATGAGTTCCACAGAGAAAAAAAAATTGGGAGAAAAATGATACCGCAGAGGAGGGGTAAGAGGGGGGTGGGGATAAATTTATATTGCCATTTGTGATCCGGGAGACCGCAACGATTCGCGAACATGCTACGTGGAACAATTAATTAATAACAATGCTTAAAGTATATGCCATCCACCCGAACCAGTTAAATGCATTTTTAATGATGCACGGGGAAAATCAATGAGAAATGCAAATTGTGTGTGTGTGGCAAGAGCCTTGTTGCCTCCCCCTACCCCCATGTCTCCTTTACGAGCCACAAAGTATTCCAGGGGATAGCCATGGAAAAGCCCGGAAAACCCCGGAAAAAGTCGCCCAACAGTTGAGGCTTTTTTCGGCCCAGTCGGATATTGCATAATTAATGGAGCTCCATTCACATCCACTCTGATGGCCATCCTAGCGGAGTCCTAGGAGCTGCTGCTGTCCGCATTTTATGGCCAAACATAAAAACCAGGAGACCAGGGTGGGACTTGACCAAGTCCCGTGTTGCCTCATTAAGTCAGGGGGGAAAATCGGTGCGACTTTTTTTTATACTTTGCTTAAATGCGAATTGATGAAGACTTTACGAGGGCAACCGAAAAAAGTGGTATTCTCGCAACACACATTTCAGGTCATTAGGGTAGAGGTAAGCTTACAATTATTATCAACCCATACTAGATGATTCATTTTTTAAAGAACCCTATATAGTTTAAAATATTCCCTCTCAGCTAAAAACTTTGGCACAACATTTTCGTTTTTCCTGCTCTCTATTTTCGTGGCCAAAAACTATAAACCGAGTTAAGTTATCTTTGTTCGGGGCATGGCATGGCAGATTAGCAACAAAACCTGAATGCGCCAACTTGGCGACTCAAACTTGTCAAGAGGAGGGTTGGGTTGGTTTTTGCCTTCAGCTGCCTTCAGCCTGATGGCATTAAGTTTTTGGCGGGATGTCAAGCCAGAATGATGGTGAGCTGCGGCTGCAACTCTAAACAATTTAACTGCCTTTAGTCTTCAGAACTCAAACCTGGCGGTGAGGTAACTTTACACCTCCATATGCAGGTGTGAATAACCGCTGGAGAGATAAGCCTGAAAGTTTTCATGCCAAAAGGGCAACAATTTTTCTTGTCTTGGTTGTAGCTCTGCCTTTTTTAATTGAAAATTTTACTCCTTTTCCACAAGGGAACAAAGTTTTCATCTTTGCGGGAAAACATTTACGGACATGTTATTGCTTTATGCCTGAAACGATTTTCCGGCTGGAAAACGTGCAAAATATTCTATGGGGAAATGTTCTTCCGACTACAGCTACAGCTAGAGCTAGAGCTTTTATATTATTTTATCTCTGGGTCGGCTTCTATCTCTCTGGCATACATAGTATACTCGTATTTTTTGTATTTTTGCCTGCCATGCTTGGTTTATTCCATATTTTAAAATGGCAACAATTTTCCGGCAAAAAACAGGTTAAATTGAATTGCATTGGCCAATCCTCGCACCTCTTTCGGCCGGCCCCAGTGACAAATTGTGGCATTCAAAATAGTTTTGTGCCTTTTTTGGGAAAATGACAACAAAAACGCCGAGCCCTCAGCCCCAGCAGGCCAAGCCCCGGCTATAAATCAATAGATATATATATTGACAGTTGGGCGATGTGCTTCTGCGTTTTTGATCGCCTGAATGCCCGCTGTTATCAGAGCTGAAAAAAAGGCTGAAACCATTTTGTTTTTATGACAAAGAATATATATATATATGGATATTCTTTGGGGGCTTTCATTTGTCAATATTTATGGCTGGCAAATATTTGTTGAACTGGGAAATCTATAAAATGCGCCCATAAATATTTCAATATTATTGGATGTGGCAATTGTAAATTTGCGTAGCACTTAATACCATAATGTTCAGCGAAAAAACCATTCACTGATTTAACAAGTCCGATCCGCATCCCTGTCCGCATCACAATAAAATAACCATTCGCAGCCCGTTGATCTGGACATAAATGAATGGAATATTTAATGCGGAGATACTTTCTACTCTGATTCAATTGTGGCCAGCTCGTTTAATGTGTCAATTGCATTATTCGCTAAAACTCTCTGCTCCGACAGTTGCAGGACGCAAAAAGCAGTCGGATGGCTGGCTGGGAAGTGGAATCCGGGCCAGAGGTCCTGACAGCCAATGACAGAAGCTAAAGTGCGCAACGATGCGGCGGGCCAAGTAGAACTGACAGTTCTGAGGGCTTCACTCCAACGAAGACAGACAGCAGCCGGCTTGGCTTGGCTTCCCATGCCCCAAAAAGTAGGCAATACAATTCGATCAATGCCAGTATCAAGTATACGCCCTGTAGTCTGTATCTGCGCAGCGCCCGCACAACAAATCGTCGAAAGGCAGGTCAGCAGCAAAAACAGGAGTGCCAAAGGTTCCAAGGATCCAGAACCCACCCACATACGAGGCATATTCAACTTGTCTGCGCCGTCATTATGTTGATGACAAGGCAGCTTTTTCTTTCCTTTGTTCCCTTTGGAAGGTTCCATCTTGCTCTTAGCCTGGGTTCTGGGTTGTGCCAGCAGGCCAACTTTTGGTGAGAGACCTTTGGAGGGGCCTAAATCAAGACAAACCAAACCAAAGGCGACCCAACCAATGCCAAGTCAATGACAGGCGGGACCATTTGCTTTGATTGCCCTTTGCAGGTGAAAGGGCATAGTGGGAAATAAAAGCAAAATAGGTTCTATAAAATATAAATAATAAATACTTTCAAGATCTTTATTTTAAGATAAAACATTCCATAGCACTAAGCCTCATAAGATTATCTTTGCTTATAATATCTTAGTGATTGTCCTCCGAAAGGGTATTAAGCTGTTGAGCAAGCCTATTAGAATTTCCTGGCCCTTTTCGGACCCGAACTGAATGATAAATAAACAATATGCGTTGACGCTTAGGTGAATTGAACATTTTCATTTGGTTTCCCGGCCACCAAGCTCCGGCTCTTTGCCCATTAAGGTGTCAAGAAGGTAAATATGAGAGCCCTGGCCCAGAAGCACAAATAAAACCAAATCAAAACTTATTATGCCAAACATACACACATGTGTACAGATCTAAGCCCATGTGGCGAGGCTGCGAGATTGTATTTTATTGTAAGACGCGTGGGTGTGACTGGGTGTGTGTCCGGATGTGCGTATCTTTTGGGAGAACTTTTATGTTTATAGTAGTCGTAAAAAAAGGAAACTTGACTTTTCGCATTTGTTGCTGCCTAAACCTAATTGAACAGAAAAATTATTGCCCTTCCTTGGGGGGAAATAACAAATATTCGGACTGGGCCTAAAATAGCTACAAAAACACAGCCAGAAATAGGACTGCCAGGCCGAAACTTTGGCATTAAATTTTCATTCTGACCTGGCCGAGAAATATTTAAATTATGCACCGCACGAATTTGTTAAACATGCAAATAACAAAATGCTCAACAGTGCAATTAGTCCGACAGCCCGACAGCCTGGCAGCCCGGCAGCTGGGGAGTTTGTGGACAGGCTGACAGCCAGAATATTTCCCAGAAATATCTCAGTTCGAGACGCATTCAAATGTAAATAAAAGGCTAAAAGGTACAGCCATATCTCTCGAGTATGGCTGTGAGTTTGCCAAGCGACTTGACACAAAGCCAATGGCGGAAATTGCAAACCCCACTCACACAAGGCCCAGAAATCCTGCTCTGGTTCCGAAATCACACTCACAAGGACACTGAGGGATCCTGTCAGACACTCGGGCAAAACTGTGCCATCAGACGGAAAAAATCACACACATACCCCGAAATCGTTATAACACTGACCTACAGAGACCTACAGACCTGGAGTGCTCCAAAGAAATATGAATACTTTACACGCCACCGGAATGCCACAATTCGCGATTTTATTTTATTTTTTTTCTGGTTTTTTTATTTTTTGAACAATAACAAGTATACGCACCGTTCTTCCCGCCCCTGGGGTGTCCTTAGAGCAACAAGAACACGAGGAGCTTAGAACTGTATACGATTGTCACCGTGGAAGGGTGTTTTGGGCAGCAGAGAGACGTAGATATTGAGGAGGAGGAGCGCGCCAGGACGCCCGCTCGATCCAACAAGCCAACCGAACACTTCACCAGAATGTTTTAAACTGACACCAAAACAAGGTCCTGCTATCTCCTGGCTGGCAAGTGTTGTGATAAAGGCCTCTCACACACACCAATGCCGAAACACAGAAAGGTGGAAGGACTTGTGGTCCAGAGCATTGGATGTTGGGTTTTTGGGAGGCTGTCGAGGGTTATTGCGCATGTTCAGCTTTTCAGAGAGAAGCACAAAGCTAGGACACGAAGCTTGAAGGATATTTTATAGGAAAATGATTCTTAAAAGTCCTGTTAAAGCTTATTATTCAGGACTAGTAAGTTTATGATAGAAGAAAAGCTTGCAAAGTTTTAATTTAAAGCTAAATATTACCTAAGCTTAAAACTGTCAAAAATAATCATGTCGGAACTTCTACAAAAGCTTAAGAGTAAGGTTAAGATAAAGGACACTCAACTTTTAAAAGGGAGCTTTTTCAACAACTCACCAACAAACTTGGACTGCATAACAGAACCCTGAAACCCTTAAAAAGCTCCCATAGATGTCGCCTTTTGGTAGTTCGAATTGGTGAACAAAAATGATGGCAAGCAATTACCGAGGCATTCTACCAAAACTAACTAACGAGTCTGCAACTTGACAAGAAATAAGCGACTAAGCCTGGAGTGGAGTGAACCAGGA